AAATATCCAGACAAAAATATAACTGAATAATAATATCATCTCATCATGATAAACAAAAACAAATTTTTAACTCATTTAGCAATAATTCTAAACAAGTATATAATAATATTTATTTTTAATAATTCATAATTTTTTCAAATAACAAAACAATACATAACCAATTACATACACACCCATCACAATACATTAATAATAGTTACCTTGTATCTTGAACAACAAGTTCTCCTTCACATCTCTTGTTTCACCACTCTTTTTATCAATATAATCTACATAATTATTTCATAATACTATATATTAATTTTACATTGAAATTAATAAATAATTTTAATTTAAAGAGTTAGAAAGTCTTAGACCTAAGATCCATGTTAACACTAATTTAAAGTTTATGCATCATTCAACTTTTCAAATTCATTTTCTAAAATTCTCATACCCTAATAAACTATATTTAAACCTTAAATCACTTCTAGTATCACAATTTCATCCATTTATAATTTAAAAATTTAAAAATAAATTAAAAATTTTATAATTACCTTGAAACCTCAAATCACCATTCTATAGCCTTAGAAATACCATATAAATTTAGAGTCTAACTCAAAAATTTTCAAATATGAGTTTCAATCTTAAGAAAATATTTTATAATATTTATTATATTTATAAAAATTTTAACATGTATTTTTAATCCATCATATCATCAGATTAACTATCCTATAAAAAATTTTTAATCAGAATATTTGCTCTACTATATAAAATAATTATATCATTAGAAATTTAATATTATTTAGGAAATAACTATAAATTAATTTTGTAATTAAAATAATTTTTAAATGGAGCATACCTGAAGAAATAAGAGAATAACACCCTTGGATGGAGCAGAGAGAGATAGGAAAAAATAACATAAAAATAAAATTGTGGGTCCTACAATTATATTAAAAAAGGACTATAGGTTTGAATTTAATTATTCAAACTCTTGGGCTATTAGTTGTAATTTCTTTAAATTGCATTTCAACCCTTCTTTGTCTCCTGATGCGCGTACTCTCCTTTTTATACATAAGGAGACATCTTCTTTTCCCACATCTAACTGATGTAGGACCTAAAAAAAGGCCTTTTACCTCTTTGTTTTTTTTTTGTTACTCACACAAAAAAAAAATTATTCATATATTCTAAATCTTAAAATTATATATTAACTAAACATTTCTTATGTAATTTTAAACTTAAATTTTTAATTCATAATTAAATACCTAACCATATTATTATTTTTGAATAACATCAAATAATATAAATTCTTCTTATTATTATTTTTTTATCCTCAATAAAATCTAAATTCCACAATTTTTTTATCATCTAAAAATCAAGATGTTAATTTATTTTATTTAAACTCAACAAATCCAAACGAGCTTCTCACTCTAATGCCACACAAGCTTGTACAGGTCTGGTGTTTAGAAAGAGGATTTGCATTGGACTCACCCACAATTTGTCAACTTGAAGCATAAGCCCAATACAATATTAGGATTTTGAGAGTGATAGAACAATAAAAATATGCCCTCTGCAAAAAAAAAATCCTATTCAATCAATCAATTTACAATATTAGGCCCTGTTTGGTATGAAATATTGAATTTTAAGGGATTGAAAATGGGATTGGGCATGGGATTAAGAGTGGGAATGACTCTAAAATCATGTTTGGTAGGTGATGGGATTTTAAAGAAAATCATGCTCAGATCAAACCAAAAACAAAAGTAAAAAACATAATTATTCTCCTTTTTTTTGGTTTCCTATAGTTGTTCGGTGACTAAAAAACGAGATTTGGGCTTCTTCCTTCATCCTCTTATCCTCACTGTGTCCCTCCTGCAGAGATGGTTCCAAATGTGTTGGAAGCTTTGCACCCACACTACTCATTTCTTTTTTCTCTTTTAGATTACTTCTCATAGAGAATTCATTGTTCTTTGCTCCAAGTTTGTTCAGATTAAGCAAATGTTTATAACTATGAGATGCTCTTGTTAGCTATCGAATTAGTTTGAATAATAGATAAAAAACTATACGGTGGAGCATTAGGAATTTCAAGAATTTCTATTCACACTCTGCGTCGTTGGAAAGATCGAGTGCTTCAAATTTGGTCACCTTGCTATCATTTTGGTTGGCCATCATTACCCTTGTTCTTACTACTCAAAAGATGGAGATACTGAAGAAACATTGTCGCTATAGGTGGAAAACAACACCATCAATAAAGACATCACTAACAGCTGGTAGGGGAGGATAGGGATGAAAGCATGGCAGGGGAGATATGTGAGAAAGGGGGAGAGAGGAGTGGAGGGAAATTTAGTTTGTGAATCTTTAATCCTAAGATTGATTTTCCAATACCATGAGGGTGGTGGTATCAAGAAAACCTATGTAGGTAGGACTGATATTGGTATTAAATTTTTTATTACCCTATACCAAATATAAAAAGTTAGGATTACTCAATCCCAATATCAACCCCACCCCTTTAATCTCACATACCAAATAGGGCCATAAATTTTTTTTCTTGCCAACAATTACTTTCTCGATACTAAAATTGCATGAGTTGCATATAACATTATAGCCTCCTGTTTCATAATTCAATTTGTACTTTTGGTGGAAAATATTATTACCATTTCTTTTTATACAACTACCTTACTAGCATAATTTGATCATTGTCAAACTCAATTAACCTCTGCCAAATATATTTTTGGCGTTTAAACAATTTTGACTCGTAACAACCATGACCTTTTTTAGTATGATCTGAGGCAGAGTCACATTATATTGAAGGACTTTGGTAATAATTATAAAGTAAATTTTGTAATTTTGTACCCTCACTCTTAATATTCTACACTCTTTATGCTAAATAAAATAATATTCTGGCTTAAAAATAGTAGGTATGTAATATTTTAATGATCTAGGTAGAACATGAAAAGTTCATTTGTAATAGCATGCTATATCATTTATACCGTCGTGATCATATCATTTTCAATTAAAAAGAAATCCAGAGTATGATGTTCTAAAAATTTGCCTTTCTACCACTAGATCCATTCATGGAATCATCCACTAGAAGCTGGTTAGCATGGATCAGAAACTTTGAGCAAGCATTTGTAAGATCTGAGGTTTAACACCGTTCTCTTAAAATTTTCTCTAACAAAGGGCTTATGCTTGGAGTTGAGAATCAAAATAGAACAAATCACAACATTGTGTTGGTGGTTATCAACTCCCTTTTGAATCATTTTGTCATTTGTTCTTTTGTGAAGACCAATCACAGTTGCACATGCTACAGCATTCTCTATCTTCCCCTTTTAGATCTCCTGTTATTACTTTGACTTATTGACATTGTCTTATTTTTTCTTTTTTTTTGTTAATAGAAATTTGTCTTTTTCTTTAAGAAAAATAATAAAATATCATATCAACTTATTTAATACATTTTTTAAACGATAATCAGTCTAATTTATGTTATTACGGTCTTAGTTATAGCATGATTGACTATTGCACTAGCATTGACCATTCCAAATTCAAAATGGCTGTTTACGATAGAAAATAAGTTATTATTTCATTTGCAAATGCTTTTACCTATTTTTGAAATCCTATGCTTCCACACACATTTTAATCTCTGATTTGCGAATCTTTAATGGTTTATAAGAGTATTATACATTATGAAAAGTTGAGATTCATTATTTGTGATATTTTAAAAATTTGGTAATTACCATGGATTTTAGTGAGTAGGGTGGATTAATAAGGGCAACCTTACTTGTCTTACCCAAATTTTACAGTCACCATCCCTTAGCAATTGTCAGGAACATTAGAAATCTCACCACAAGGAATTGAAAGATTGTTTTTGATCATTTTTACGGAGAAGCAAATAAATACAACGTTCTTTTAACTCACAAGGCTTCGAGAGAGAGTTTTGATATTAAGTTGTTTATGAGTGTTGTTTGGGCTAAAACTAAAACGTCATTCACAATGGCTATAACATGAAATGGGCCAAATAACTAAAGAACCATGCCCAATAAGTGATATAACAACAAGATCAATTTAGATCATAATGGAATAACCCAATTAGGTAAGCATGAGTTTTTAAACCCCTTGAAGCTCGAAGCCACTACCTAGATTGTTGTGATACAGAAAATCATAACCTCAACAGGCCATTATCTACAAATATCTCAGAGACACGAGCTGATAGTTAACAATGAAATGCATTACGGATAGGAAGACCATGCCATACATCTCGCAGACTGTGCACATTGAATCTTTGATATTTTGTGAATGCGTTCCAAATTTCATGGAAGCAACTATATCAACTAAACTATTATATAAGAAGGAGAAGATCATAGGAAAGAGGACCAATCAAAAACACCTTTCAAACACTAAAATCTTTCAGACTTGTAGTTCTAAAATTTCTTGAATAATTTTCAGTTTCATTCCAACCTTGTAATCTTTACTACTTTGTAATTTGCCTTCAGTATTAATCAAACACTTATTATTCTAATTTATTTATATTTTTTATATTTGGATAAACTGTGATAAATGAGTCTAAGGACTTTTTATTATCATTTGAGACTTAACATCTCTGACATGTTTGATAATTTTGTTATTCACAATGAAAAAGTTCGTTTACTGATTGAAAAAGCCTCATGGTTTCATGCATGACCTAATCTTGGTGCCCTTACACAGTTTTTGCCATGGCTTTGCATTTAGAATAAAAATTGTAGGTATGAAAACAAATAGTAGAAAACTCTTCATGATTTGTCTTTTTGGCCAAAAAATAGATCTTCACAGTTTGTTGAGTGTCCTGTAAGTGAATGATTTATGACTAGAATACTTGGATAAGAGATCGGGATTGCGGCACAGATTACAGCCGAGATCCTAATTGTAAATCGAACGGTTATAACTTTTTAGGATGAGGTGGATTGAAGTCTGAATAACTCAGAACTCTTTAAACATAAGGAACAAAATGATACAATTACACGCATAAACATAAGGAACAAAAGCCATTAGCTAAAAAGCACTTGCATATAAAATTCGAAAGAAAATCCACACCAAATTTGCTTGTCAGCTTCTCCTATTTTCTCTTTCCCCATCCCTGTACTAGAAATATTGGAATCTCTAGCTTTTCATTTCCCTCCACAGATCTCTAAAATTCCCTCTCACCAAGCATCGATAATATAATTTTTCGATCGCCTCTGTTATCTGTATCGCCCAAACATCTCTTTTCTGTTCACTCTACTCCCTGGGCACTGATCAATATATTCGGTCGATGATTCTGGAACCTTCATGAATCTTGACGCAGGCCTCTCCCTCTTTATGGGCCAGCACCCTTGCGATGCCTGAGCTGCGTCGCAGACCACGCAGAGACCGGGCATTAGATAATCCGAACCCAAGTCCGATTGCAGCACTGGACAAGCCCTCGCCAAGAACTCGCCAGAGAAGATCCACTGCGCAGAACAAGCCAAATCGGAAGCATAAGAACGCGATCGCAGCTGATGAAACAAATAATAATCTAAACAAGAACGTCGGCGCCGTTCCTCTGACCGGGACATTGAAAGGCGAGGAAGAAGGACAAGCGCCAGTCGCACCGTTAAGGGTTTTGAGACAGAAAGCTGGGAAAAAGGCCATGGATGAGTACGACAGCGGTGGTCGAAGCCCCGACAAGGCTCCGGCCGCTGAAGACGAGGGCAATACAGCTCCCCTTCCTGAGAAGGTGGTTTTGGTTTGATTTTCCCCCCCGCCTTAATTATTCTATATTTGGATGACGAGATTGTTCAAGTAGTTCAAGGGCAAAATTTGTACTTATTTTTTTGACTTCCGAAGGCATGCACAAGTTATGAAAAATGGATAAGTCAAGTGTCTAAAAGTTGAAGGCCTGCCATGGATCATTTGGACCTCCGAGGCAGCCTGTCTCTGTCTCTCTGCGAGGTTCCGTTATGGTATTTTGAAGTGTTCTATACTTGCGAGAAAGTGCGAAATATTCCGTCTTTCAACTTTTTTTCTTATGTAATATTGTTCTTCTACTTGATAGTACTGTTGCATATAATGAAATGCGAGAAAAAAGTTGTTTAGTAATCTAATAGGGAATAGCTCTCGTGCACTGGCGTATGGTAGGCTTTGCTATCCCACTCAACACGGTTCTGTTTCCTATGGAATTTTATTATACTTTTCCAGTCGTTTTATTCTGAGTTCTGCGTCAGATTTGCTACAGCGTATCACCGAAGAATCATGAATATATGTAATCGTTTTCATGTTATTGAAGATGAATCCTCCCTTTTTTTTTTTTTTGCTTTTTGTGTAACAGGTCCAGGTTGGTGGTTCTCCACCGTATAGAGTCGATAGAAAATTAGGGAAAGGTGGATTTGGACAGGTCTATGTTGGCAGGCGTGCAGGAGCTACAAATTGCAATGAACGAACTGGGCCTGGAGCCGTTGAAGTATGTTATTAGTGCGTCCGTTTGTTGACGTTTTACTTTCACAACTTGGATTCTTTGTTACTTACTTATTTGCCCAATTGCTTTAGGTAGCTTTAAAGTTCGAGCATAGAAGTAGCAAAGGGTGTAATTACGGTCCGCCATACGAGTGGCAGGTTTACAAGTAAGTCACCTATCTTTTCTTTAAGTCAGCTGGAGTCTATCCGCCTATTAGGCATAAATAAAGAAATTGTAATGCATCTGAAGCATCAATTTGAAGGAGAAATATGGTAATTTTTGAAAACAAATTTACATATTGATATTGGTTATGTTTGGTTGCTATCTGTAAAAATTAATACCGATCATGTTTTAATTCATGCTATGCAATACGTTATAGGATTAGATTCATGGTTGAATAATTATAAGATTTAATTTTTCGTTGATGTTCTGGACTCTACAGCATTTTCAATGTGCTTTAGGGCTTTATTGAATTTCAATCATAAGGATATTTGGTATATTGTCACTTCTATGCGTTTGAGGTAGTCAGGAATGTTTTGGTTTATTTCAACAACTGGTCACTGTGCTCTTCATGTTTCTAGTGAAGATATGGTTGCAAAAGTAATTTATCAGGGCTGACTAACATCCTGATGATTCAGTCTGTCTAATGCTTATAACTGGCATCTGCTCAATTTTTTTACAGTGCATTAGGTGGTAGTCACGGTGTTCCACGAGTTCATTACAAGGGGCGTCAGGGTGACTACTATGTTATGGTATGTAGTCTGTACTCATGCTCTGTGAGAAAGGGTGTAGGCCTGTGGTTGTGTTTGAATGTATTAATAGCTCCGTATTGTATCTAGGTCATGGATATGCTCGGCCCTAGTCTATGGGATGTATGGAATAACAACTCGCACACGTAAGTATCTCTATGAACGTGTACTGAAACATAACATCCTACATTTTAAATGTTAATGTCAATATTGTGCACCTGACCCTTTCTCATTTTTGACCTTAGGATGTCTACAGAAATGGTGGCATGCATTGCAATTGAGGCTATCTCCATATTAGAGAAGATGCATTCCAGAGGGTAATATCCATGTTTTGTTATCTCTGGCACGATTGACCCCCCTTCTCTAAATATATTGGAAATATAGTTATACTTAATTAATCCATACATTGGCACGCAATTTAGATATTGGTGTTACAGCATGTTATCATTTAGATGTTCTCTCTATATATAGCGTGTAAAAGACTTGGTCAATCATTTGTTGTTAAGCAACATGTAGATTAAATGACTTAGGACGTAGGTATTGCTAATCATGAAACTACCACGTGATTCAAGCATTTGGTTGCTTTAAGAGCAATAATTTTCTACCTCTTTGTGGAATCTTGTATTTTATTGATCTCTGTTGTTGTAAAGAACATCTAACATGCTCCTGTCTATAATAAAGATATGTGCATGGTGATGTGAAACCTGAGAATTTTCTGCTTGGTCCCCCTGGAACTCCGGATGAGAAAAGGCTTTTTCTGGTTGACCTTGGATTAGGTAAATATACCACCTTACCTTTGAAACTTTGGTATTTCCGTTGGCAGCAAAGATGTGATAAAATATTATTTTTGTTCCCCCTCCTCCCACAATACAGCAACCCGGTGGCGTGACCATACGACTGGAGTTCATGTTGAGTATGATCAACGACCAGATGTATTTAGGTAAAGTTAATTTAGTTTATCTGAATCTGCTCAATTAACTTTGGGTGTTTCTCTGATGCTATATTCCATTCTTGCTACAGGGGGACCGTACGTTATGCTAGTGTGCATGCTCATCTTGGTAGAACAGGTAGCAGGAGAGATGACTTGGAGTCTCTTGCTTACACTCTCATCTTCCTTCTTCGTGGTCGATTACCTTGGCAAGGATATCAGGTAATTATTTACTGGAAACATAACAGCTTTTTTTGTGGATGATATATATGATTATTGTTTTTTTTTTTTGGTAAATATAATCATTGTTACTTTAATGCAATCGTTTCTTGCAGGGAGAGAATAAAGGATTTCTTGTCTGCAAGAAGAAGATGGCCACTTCCCCTGAAACTTTATGTTGCTTTTGTCCTCAACCTTTCCGGCAGTTTGTTGAGCATGTGGTGAATTTGAAGTTTGATGAGGAACCTAACTATGCGAAGTATGTTTCCCTCTTTGATGGTATTGTTGGTCCAAATCCGGACATCAGGCCAATAAATACTGATGGTGCTCAGAAGGTAATAGCTGGTATAATTTCTCTAACATTCTGTCATTTGCTATCATTAAGTCTCATTGTTATCCTTGTCTTTTTGGGTGGCGTTATAGCTTATATGTCAGGTTGGCCATAAGAGAGGGCGATTGACCATGGAAGAGGATGATGATGAACAACCAAAAAAGAAGGTCAGAATGGGAATGCCAGCAACCCAATGGATCAGTGTTTATAATGCTCGCCGACCAATGAAGCAAAGGTTATCTTCAGAAGTTATGTAGATTCTTGAAGCTGATTTGTAAACTGTCAGATTCTTGAGCTTTTATTTCTTGATGTAGGTATCATTACAATGTGGCTGATATGCGGCTGCCCCAACACATAGAGAAAGGGAATGAGGATGGTTTGTTTATCAGCAGTGTGGCTTCTTGTTCTAACCTTTGGGCACTTATTATGGATGCTGGCACTGGTTTCAGTGCACAAGTTTATGAACTTTCTCCTCACTTTCTTCACAAGGTTGGATGATCCATGTTTCTGTTGGGCATAGATATTAATTTCAATTTGAGATATCCCATGTTTGATGTTAGTAATTAGAAATTCAGTGCATGTTATTCAACAATTTTTGTGCTTTACTTGAAACATATGGAAGTTGATAAACTTGTCACGTCTGTTATTTTTGTAGGAATGGATTATGGAGCAATGGGAGAAGAATTACTACATTAGTGCAATAGCAGGAGCTAATAATTGTAGTTCATTGGTTGTAATGTCCAAAGGTAAGTATCCTTGGACCCATTACTCATCACTCGTCAGGCTTTTGTATTTGGGATGACAATAATTGGCTCGACTAATTTGGAATTTGACAATGACCTGTTAGCAAGAACTAGAAGTTTGTGTTTAAACTGCTGTTTCACTTCTACTGCTTTCAGGGACCCAGTACTTACAGCAGTCATATAAAGTCAGTGATTCATTTCCGTTCAAGTGGATCAATAAAAAATGGAGAGAAGGGTTTTACGTCACTAGCATGGCCACTGCTGGGAGTAGATGGGCAATTGTCATGTCCCGTGGTGCGGGATTTTCAGACCAGGTTTTGCTGGGACTCTTGAGTATCTTAACAGTCAGAAATCTCAGGCGCTAAAGAATTATATCTGACTCATTTCCTTTTGCAATTAATGCCAGGTTGTAGAACTTGATTTCCTATATCCCAGTGAAGGTATTCATCGTAGGTGGGACAGTGGTTACCGCATCACATCAACTGCAGCAACTTGGGACCAAGCTGCCTTCGTTCTTAGTGTACCAAGAAGGAAACCAGCTGATGAAACTCAAGAGACACTTCGGACTTCTGCTTTCCCTAGTACTCATGTTAAGGTGGCTACTGCACCTGAAATTTTGCCCAATCCACCGCTATTTCATGAATTTGTTGTTTTTATGTTTGATTTGTTGTGTTCATGCAGGAAAAATGGGCAAAGAACCTGTACATTGCATCTATTTGTTATGGAAGAACAGTTTCATGAGCTGCTGAGCTTTCTTGTTCCTGCTGACATCTTTTTTACTTCTTGCATGATCCTGCTTATCCTTTCATCAGCCACTTGGGATGAAAGACCAGACCCTCTAGACAAGTTTTTTGAACAATGCAGTTCAGCCTTGATGTATGCTAAACCTTTCTTCATGGTTGTCATCACTTATCATTTGATACAATACTTGTGCACTTTATGTCAACTGTGTCAACATGCTTGTAGGCAAATATAGATCGTGTCCATTTGGATAAGTCTTGAGATAGAAAGTTTTGTATAGATTGAACAGATAATTACTGTTTCAAAGTCATGTGCACAGGTCAGGCTTTTGTTTATTGAAGATATTTTGCATTTCGCAAATGTGCAACTATGATTTTCCAGGGGAAACGGGAGACCTTCGACTTTGCAATCTTGTAATTAGATCCTCTACCTTCTTCCCTCTTTTCACGTAAAGTAATTAACGGCTTCTTGGGTAGACATTGAACATGGGAAGTTGTGTTCTGTGGCAGCAGTTTGTAATTGATCAGTTGTTCTTATAACATTATCATCTTGTAATTGATTTGTTATTGTTATCAAAACATCTTAATTGTCTGTTACACTAGTTATGGCTGCTTACGTCTTGACGTGTTTGTTTTGTGGGTTGATCTCAAGAAATGCTACTTGGGGGGGGGGGTGTTCCGCATTAAATAAAGGATGCAATTTCCAGATTTGTACTGATTTTTCATTTTTCAGTTACGATAGAGTTTTGATTCTTTGTACAGAAACTAGTCAGTGAGTCTGAAAAAGTTTTGTTTTGTCGGTCAAACATTATTTTTCCTACCTCTCTTGGAAGGTTATGGCATCTAAATGTTTGAATATATTATATATATAGCATTGAGTTGTTTTTAGAAGAGGAGCTACTAGATAATCTGTTTATCTTCTGGCATTGAGAAAAAAAATCTTCTTTCTGCAACCTTCCTGACTTTGACAGTTACACATCTCCATCTCCATTGTTCTAATTACTCTTTACTTCCAGTATCCAAAATCTGCTTTGGCTTCTGGCTAGTCCTTTATGATTTAGTGCATAATTTTGTTTGATTATTTTTCTAATATCAAGCATGGCAAGATTCACTTTTCATTCTGACAAGAGGTTGGCTCCATTGGAAGCTCAGTCAAGGTGACCAGAAGTATCTTGTACCCCTGTGTGATGACTCCTGTAATACCTGAGAGTTCACTGGGCGTGAGGCAGGTATTTAGTAATCAAGCTAGTATTGCATTTCTCATGTACTGTTGTGCAACTAAGTTGTTTGCTTAGTCTGATATCTTTTTTCTTCATGTTTGATGTATACCAGGCCTAATGGCATTTCCCTCTGGTTTCTCACATTTTGGTGATGTTTTGATTCTCTTTGTTCTCTTTTATTGCCATTGGCTGTTCTCTCAACACAAATTTTTGTTTTCGAAGGTATTTCATTGACATTCTATGGCTGTGGTGGCTTGCAGATCCGAACATTTTGCTTCAAACCATAATCATGATGCTGGACCATTCTTACTCATGGGGAAGCTTTGGAAGTTTAGTTTCTGATTTAGTGTAAGTGAATTTTACTCCTTTTAAAATATTTGAAGACTTTAATATGTGAGATATCTAGTGCCAAATTTGACAAAACAATATAATATTTTTGTGCACTGTGGACTTCCAAACATGGTTTCTTGATAAAATCTAATGTTGGTAATGATGTTGAGTTGAAATTTGAAATCCGCTGATCGGATATGAGTATCCTTAAAATGTCGGTGAGGTCCATGCTGAAGTGCTGCACTTTTTGATGTGCTTGTTAGTTGCGATTTTGGTAGTTCCAGTAAAATTGGAGGATGGGTTAACAAATATTAACTGATTTTTTGAAAAGCTCATGAAATAAGTGGCGTTGTTGATGAGAGCCGCTTAATCTAATTTAGCGTTTGGCGTCTTTGTCAGGGCTTCAGATGACTGCATGACTGCGCGACCAAGTTTGAAGATGGTATGCTCTGGCCTGATCTGACTTTTGCAAGACCTCCTTGTAAGAGACAGTATCATAGTAAAAGAACCAAGGACGAGCTGGCAATGCCCTGCTAACTTTTGCCGCTTATTATTATTATTTTTTCCCTGGGCAGTTCAGCCTAAATTTTATTTAGATTTCAATTGGACTCAATTTATGAATGACTGCCAGATTTTCCAAAAAAAATGAGAATTTCACGGATAGTCTGATACTGTCCGAGTGTTAGGATTTGTCTATACTAACTCCTTCACCCTACCGTGCTGCGCGTTCAATTTGTACCGCAGCACATAGCCAGCAAACATGATCAATGAGAATAAAATTCGAACAGGGTTAAGTTATTAATAATTAAACGTGTTTTTTGTTTTTATGCATTTATGAGTAGCGTTATATTATGCTGACAATTGTTCCAAGAGATTTCATGCGTTCAGGGGTACATATATGAAGGGGTTGGCTGTGGCCCAGTCTGACTCGGAGTTGGAATGGTTAGATCGAAGCCGTTTTTGAGATCTGGACAAGGTTTCTTCAGGCTGGATCGACTTCTTCAGGTTCTGGGTTCCAATAGATTCCTATTTGCTGGGATCGGATACAATCACAAGTGCAAAGCAAAACGCGGGGATAACAAGCAGATCATGCTCATCATCTCTGAACTATTTTGATTGAATTTAAATGGTTCAAGTGATTTTTTTTTTTCCTTCACATTTTAAATGACTCTTAAATTTTAATGGACGTAAAATCTAAAATAATAAATTCATAATGGCCAATTTTAAAATAATAATAATAAATTTATCATTGAAAAAAAAAGGTAAAAATCTTATAACAATTGTCAAGGGAAAATGTAATATTTATTCCTCATAATTTTATAGGATTTTGTTTTTAATTCCTATAATTATTTCAGTTTTTTAATTTTTACATGGACTAAAAATATTAAAAAAATAAAATTATAAGAGCCTAAACACAAATGTCATTTAATTTTTTAAAACTATATAAGGATTGAAAACATTAGAGAAAACTATAAAAATTAAAAAGGCAAAACTCAATAAAACTTGAAAGCCAATTGTTAAAACTACATTTAAATAATTTACGTATCATCGCAAGGAACATGTGCTGTAAAGAGAATCCAAGTAAGACCCGTGTGAACGTTAATGGGAAACCTACAACCAATTTCAGGGCACAATTTAATAGGTAATGTGAGTTCACGACGTAGTGAGAATTTTGCATCCCAGTTAATTGGCAGCGAAAATAGTTTTATCATGTTAGAGCCTGCCTCGCAGCGAAGATAGTATTATCGTGTTAGCTTGTCTCTCATATATATATATATATATATATATAAATAAGATCATTTATGACTGCAAGGCAGCACATTAATCGCTGATCCGCAAATTAAACTGATGGCTTAAGCACCTATTCCACGGCGCCCAACAAGTGAACAAAATTCCATGTTTCAGCAATTAAAGTTATATGAACAAGCCGAAACACAGGTATTTTCAGCCGCATGCTGATTCTCGCCGCGTATCAGGCTCGTTGCGGAAGCCCAAAGGCTGAGGCCACGCAGCTGAATTTCAAAAATTGATTAATACCATGTAAACCTAGAATTTTCTCTTTTTTGGACAAGAATTTAAACCTAGGATCTTGGACTGCGGCAAAGTCTCCTCAGGCGAACTTTTTCCTGAAAACGGGAAAATGAAAATGAAAATTTTGCATTAACCAATAACCTGTTAGCACAAGCAGAGAAGGAAATATTTCGTACCTCACTGTTGTCATGATCATACCGAATCAAGAAGAGACACCTGCAGCCTCTGATATCATGCATTTTCCTTTGGATCTCTAAAACATGGGCATCATAATAAATTGCTTGATCTCTCCTCTCCTGAAACCCAAATTATTTTGTCAAATGAAAGCAAAATACACTGAAAGGAAGAAAATTATGGTCAGCACGCTAATGTCTGAATCACCTGGAAGCACAAGACAGGGTCTCCAACTTTTAGGTTGGAACATTCAGTATTTTCTAAAGGCACCGAGCGTTCTCTCACTGCATCTTTTATATTGACCCACTCATCTTCCTCAGCTCCAAATCCAACAAATCTGACACGGACTTCCTTTAACAAAGGGCAAAACTGTATCAAAGACGAAACTTTTCCACTCTTTCTTTTGGGAGTGTCAAGATGATCAAACCGAACATCAAGCCTGGCAGTACTACGCTATGGAACTTAAGATGATGAAAACTTACAGCTTCACCTGTGCTGAGAAATCTGTGGGCAAGAAACTTCTCAACATCATACCTGCAGAATATCAAAACCTCACATCTGAAAAATAAGGCTCGTCTAAGACACCATCACATGTCATCACCCCCTAACAAATATTATTCAGCATTCTTTTAATGATTGCCACTATCACTTTATCCCCCCCTGCTGTGATAGCAAGTGTTATAAAAGCCTGGAGGTGGTCACGTAGCTCAAACTAACTATACAGACTCAGGGCGTTAGGACAAGATTAAGTGAGCAATATTTTGTAAAAACCATGCCATGCTTCCCGTTTGATCAATATTCCTACAACAGCCTTAAGGAGGAAGCTATTTGATTGTTTTCATACAAATGCAAGGAGGTGGTCAAGTTCAGCAACATATATCAGTGTATCACATGATTTATGATTGTTTTTTATGAGATTGTCAATATCTTTAACTTCCATCAGTGTTAAATTTCAACAATTGAGACGGCAAAGGCAGCATGGGAAGGACAAGCTTGAAGCAGAGAAGCATTTAGTTATAGATGTTTACTCTCTGTGGGCAAGGGGCTACAATGTGGTTCAATCTCATCACTTCAGCAATTTACAAATTACTAAATGAATTCAAGCAAGCTGACATAAATGCTCACCATGCTCCATCTTTTGATGATCTTGCCTCAAATTCCAACTCTGATGGGTCTCGGATAATTCCTACTAAAGAGTAAATATTCCATTTCAGAAATAACCTCCACAAGATAAGTGGATTTGATACAATAAACTGCACATTGACCAAAATATCTATCTATAAAACAAGCATATCTGCTAGCTTAAATCAATGAAGAGGAACTAAAATGTGAGAAGGGGCTACGGAAGGCTATGCTGCTCTTGCTTCCTGCTTTGCAGCAAAAATCTGCTACTTTGATGTCTTTATTTTTATTTTGGGAATATATTCCAAATACCATAAAGCAATTTCACACAATGATTTCATTACATTCATGATCTTATACCAAATAAATGAATGAAGGACATTCGCAACATGAAACCCAAGCACACCAACCATAAACTTGTCAGCCGAGGAAGTACATATCACAACTAGAACCATCATAGAAATTGTGAAAATAATAATTTAAACAACCAACCTTTTAAACCGCTATGCTGAAATTATCAACATTGGAAGAATTGAATTTGTTAAGGAAATTTTTTCCCTTTCAGGGTTTGTTTGTGGCAATGCTAGAGCTAATCACATGCAGTCAAAGATTTTAGGATTAAACCAGCAATGATGTGTTGATGCGTTTTATGTCAAGATCATTTACACTTCAGAAGTCAGAAGATAAACATACGGAGTGAACCAAGAAAAGAAGATAGTATAGTTCTAACAAGCAACAATTGAAAAATCATGAAGTTTTACATAAAGAATGAAGCTCAGAAACGCATATAAGGAGCCAAGAGAAGAAGATAAATCCAATGAACGCATAAAAATAAGTTTTACATAAAAGGATGAAACTCACAAGTAGAAGAAGGAGCTATGCTAAAGATCCATTAAGCATACAGGAGCTCTTACCTTCCTTACTTACAAGACCATTTGTATGAGTCAACTTGTTTTTGGGGACTTCGGGTGGTTCTGGAAGCCTTGTCTGAAACCAACTCTGTATCTAAGAATCCTCCCCAAAAGAAAAAAAAAGGAATAATTAAAAATTTACAAAGAATGAGAGAGCTAAAAGCCAAAAATAAAAAAAAGGCGGATTGGAACTTGAATGATACACGTGATATATAAGAAAACTGTATTTACCTCAGTCCATTTTATGACTGGTTTGCCAGCGCGACCAGAGGAGCGGCTGCACAGAGATAATATGGAAACAGCACTTACTCTTCAGGATAACACAAGCATCTTATCTTATCACCAGAAGAAAAATCAACGAATATTGAAAATTATACCACTAGAGCATCCAGAGTGAAACTCACTTAAAACTTTTAGTAAGTCTTTGGCAAAACTCCTTGCCCAGTGATTCTTCCCCTGAATCTTTAAGCAATTTTTCCATTTTCTCAATCTGTTCACCATGGTGCCGGGAAAGTCAATTCATTTTAAGATAATAAGCCTCCAAAGTAGACTCATATTTACATGCTAAGACAGGCCACGAAGATTTAATGACACTAATAACAATATTTGATACATTGCAGAAACATTCTGCATCGTTATCTAAATGCTATTGCGTCTTCATGATTTCAATATTATTTTACTAACGGTCTTAGCATATCAGAAAATCTTTGAAGTTCATTAAACAGGAACCAACTTGCCATTAGTTTCAAAAGAGTGCCATCGCTCTCAGAACACAGATACTGTTATATTTACTGTAGTAATAGAAGTTCGTACAATGCTAGAGATAGTAAATAGAGACAAGGCTCTCATAAAGTAGCTTCCCCAGTCATCACTCCTTATTGCGCATGAGTATTGTTAAACCATGCAGGGCAGAGAGGGAAGACTGGCTTTTTTTTTTTTTGGGGTGGGGGGTGGGGGGTGGGGTTGTGGGGGAGCCAGGACAATAATTCCTTCAGGCATGTCTAACAAGTAATAAGCCCAAAGCAGATCTCGGTATCGATCAATATAGGAGACTGAATCACACAGCTAAGAAAAAGATATGTTCTCAGGATAACAGGATAAATAAGCCAATAGATAATGCTCCATGCGTTTATATATGCAAACGATAGAATAGCCATCCATGAGACACATTAATGAACGTAGGCATTCCCGATTAAAATTCCACCAACGTAATTGATCTCACACGTGCCCGCTAAGAAATTATTACAGCTGAAAACTAACGTCAGACACGGATGAATCTACCAATTCCCAAACAACAATTAAATATAGGCTTCATCTAAAGTCTATTGGCTGCCTCAGTTTATGTTTGAGTTTAAAAATTCACCTAAAATTTTTTCAGGAAAGAAGACAAGAGTAATACAATTATACCTCAGCATTGGTGAATCCAAAAAAGACCGGTCTGTTCCGAGGACGCAAGCGGTCCATGGAAGCACCTCTGTTTTGAGAAGAAGATAAAGATAGAATTAAAGCGCTGCTATGGTTGAATTGCTCTGTGTTTCGCTCCACCAAGCACCAGATTAGCTAAAAACCCTAGCAAAGGATTCCCACTTTTGTTACTGTGTTTTCGCATTTATAGGGGTATTTGCAAAAACGTATTAGACTGGCGAGGGGAACTCAGGGAACATCGAGTGCCGAGCCACCTGCTTCCGGCAGCAGTGGGGATGATCCGCCGTCACGTCAGGAGATGAGAATGTCAGTTAAGCCCGTAATTTAATAAGCGATGGGCTTTTTCATGGATCTGGGCCGGGAGAGCCGAATGGTTCCTCTTCACCATCGAATGTTCAATATAATGAAATCTGTGCCGTTCATCCTTCATAGCTTTTAGTTAATCCCAACCATCTAATCCCTTTTAATCCTAAAGTGCCTCATCCCTTCTCGCCTCTCTCGTCCCTCGTCTCTAACTCCATAACTGTGATGGTTTAATTTGAGTCCCCTTTATTTGAGCCAAGGTGTCCATGGTAGCTTGGGTGCTGCGACAGCTTAGCTGCAATGGCTGCATCAGTCATTCAGTCAACGGTGGGTAGCTTAAATCCACATGCTTAATGAGGATCTTAATTATAATTATTAAATTTTATTAATACTTAAAAATTATGAAAATATTTTTTAAAAAAACAATTCACAACATTTCTTATGATGAAAGCATCCTTTACATATATTGTTTTCATATAAAAAAATTTGACATTTAATATCTTTTCAATATTATACAATCATTCAACTAAGTGAACCATAATCTAATGATTGTTATTATATCATGCAAGACAATCACAAAATAAATAGATTAAGTCATTCACTGAATTCAAGTTCAAACAAATACCCACATTTCATGCTCACCAACTTGATGAGCGCTCAATCAAAAATTTGATCCTTTCTCCTTTAATTTTATTTTAAAATTATCTATGTCCTTTATTTTGAATTGATTTTTAAATATTTTTAATATTATATTTATTAAAATAAAAAATTATGAACAGTTAATATAATATTTGAATTGTCCTCTATTACTTATTAAATACAATGATTGACACTGTGGCAGGGGTCATATTAAAATCAAAATAAAAGACTAAGATTGGCTGATGAGCGGAATGCCGACACGGTTATAGGATAGCATTGCTTGTTTGCATGTTGCATTTAATTTTGTTTCTTAGTCCAGTTCAGGTTTTATGTGTGTGCATGTGTGTGTAATTAATGGGAAAGAGGCCATAAGCTTTTGTTCTTTTCTATTGGAGGAGAGGTGGGTGAATTATATTTTCTTATTCATGGGATCATGTCTGCCGGCGCTAAGCTATGAAAATATCACAAGATATCTGTGAACGGAGAGGAATTTGTTTCCTGACATCTTTTTGTAGTTTTTACATATTTTACGTCAAAGCCGAGACATTTAATCTTGAAGACCAATGGGGCTGAATTCAAGGAAGAGGTTGATGTCACTACCTCCCAATTCGTAGAATAAAGCTTTAAAGTTAGATTTGGTTATAATTATGAACAAATAACAGAGGTATAATGGTTAATTTTTTCTTGCAACATTGCCCTCCCTTTCCCTCCCCCCAAATGCTTCCTTAGTCATGCCAAGTTGTAATTCCTAAACATATCTTATGGTGATTATTAATTTTAATAAAATTAAAAATAAAAATTCAAATATTTTTTTATAAATTTAAGAATATTAATGACCATTCTTTGAAAACTGTAAGATTGATTGATTTTATTTTATAATTAAGATTAGGATTAGAGGAAGTATTCGGCTAACGTCCAAAAAAAAAAAACACAAATTCCACAAACAGTGTGGGAGATCTTTTAAATTTAAGGATTTGCATTTGGTGCTCATCATAAATACCGCATGCTCATCAAGATCAGAGTAATCTTAACATTCCATTTCAATCTGAATTAATCTCTATTGTTTATTTAAATTAATTTTTAAATATCATATTATATTTATTAATATAAAAAATATTAAAAATTTTAATAAATTTGTTCGCTAACAATTTGGCCACTATATATTTAATTTAGCATTCCAATTTAATATTTAAAAATTTTATAATTTTATAATTTAATTATCTAGATAGACTCTGAACAATTTAGATATAATTTAGATGACATAATTTAATATTATAAAATTTATAAATTTTATAAATTAATCATTTAAATGTATTATAAATAGTCTAAATTTAATATTAATTTTTTTATATTAATAAATATAATATTAAAAATATTTAAAAATTAATTTAAAAGGAATTACAAAGATTATTTTTAGTTAAAATGGAGGCTTAAGATTACTCCTAATATTGATGAGCACTTGATATACCGAATGCAGGAATGAGTTTCCCTGCTCATCCTTATGATGAAATTTGGACCATTCAGATTTGTCCAGATTTAAAGTATTATTATATTATTATATATTATATTTATTAAAATAAAAATTTGTAAAAATTATAATATAATTTTAATAATTTTTATTTTTAATTTAATTTAAATTTAATTTAAATAGTCTAATTTAATATTAAAATTTTTATAATTAATATATTTTGATTATTTAAATTTATTTTGCACAGTTTAAGACATGCAGAATATATTTGAATAATTAATATACATTAATTATAAAAATTTTAACATTAAATTAGATCCACTAAATTAAATTTAAACCTGACTAAAAATAAAAAACTTATTAAAATTATTTTATAATTTTTATAATTTTTATTTTAATAAATATAATATATTATAATAAATTTAATCTGGATAGAAACCGGTCCCCGAATGCAGACATTTAAATTTAATGTAGGCCTAAGGCCAGCCAATCAACAGTGCTACTTTTGCCATTCCTTTTCACTGATCTTTATATTCATATTCAATAAGTTGTTCTTTCTTATGCTGGTATTGTTCATATTAATCTTGCGGTTTTAATCTGGAACTCCAGATGAATCATGCAAAGCAACTGCTGAAAAAAAAAAAAGGCTGTTGAGTGACCAAGTCTTGGATTTTGCCGTCTTGTACGGCACACAGATCACTTTTCTGGAGGGAGAAAAACAAGCGAAGATTTGTATTTTTCATCCAAGTTATAAAGACGTTCCTGGAAACGAAGAATGTATAGTATGTTTGCTCACGCGATCATCACGTTATTGAATAGAATCGGTGGGGGAAAAGCCACTTCGGCACAGAAGCATAGAGTGGTGGTGTTGGGTGGCGAGAGATTGCATTGTTATCTGCCATTTCTGTGGTCAATCCTGAGCTGAGTTGCATGCATTACTGATCAATACTCCGTAACGTCTCTGGTGACGTCGGCGAGTCAAAAGTGGTGGCTGCGTCTGACTACATGCCACGAACCTATGTCTTCCTCACCCAAGTGGCAAGATTGCCTCCATTTTAGTCTTCATTACGGCTGGTCTACTTCTCATTCTTAATACCATTTTTTCCCTATAAAATAAGTCCCTTCTCGTTCCTTCTGTTAACACCATCCTCCCCTCTACTATTCCGTCATTTCTCGCCGAGCACTATGCAATTCTCATCCGAGACCCTCTTCACCATCTTCACTATCATCACCCTCCACTGCCTCACCGTCTGTGCTTCCACTTGCCACCCGGATGACGAATCGGGCTTATTGGGTTTCAAATCCGGAATCACGTCCGACCCGTCTAACATTCTCGCCTCCTGGAAGTCGGGTACCGACTGTTGTACATGGGCCGGTGTGACTTGCCTGAATGACAACAAGCGGGTCACCAGTCTCTCCCTTTCTGGTCAACCCTACAGCCCCAATAGCTTTTTGTCTGGCATTATTTCATCTTCACTTTCGAAGCTCCGATTCCTCGACGGCATCTACCTCATGGATCTCAGAGACCTCTCGGGCAATTTTCCCGCTTTCGTCTTCCAGCTACCCAACCTCCAATTCATTTATATCGAAAACAACAAACTTTCGGGTCCCGTACCAGAAAATATTGGTAATCTTACCCGATTAAGCGCGCTTAGTTTGTCTGGGAATAGATTTGCAGGACCAATACCCAATTCAATTTCTGCGTTGACTCAGCTGACTCAGCTCAAACTCGGTGGAAACCTTCTCCGAGGACCGGTGCCCGACGGCATTCGCAGGCTCCGTGATCTCACTTTTCTGAGTCTAGAAGCGAACCAACTCACAGGTACAATACCGGATTTCTTTTCGTCTTTCACAAACCTTCGGATTCTCAGACTTTCCCGTAACAAATTTACCGGTGAAATCCCACCCTCCATATCATCGCTTGCCCCGAAGCTAAGCTACTTGGAGCTTGGCCACAACTATCTCACGGGGCAAATCCCTGATTTTCTCGGGAATTTCAAGGCACTAGACACCCTGGATCTCTCGTGGAATCGGTTTTCGGGGACCGTGCCGAAAAGTTTCGGAAACCTCACTAAGATCTTCAATCTCGACCTGTCCAACAACTTTCTCGTCGACCCATTTCCGGAGATGAATGTGAAAGGCATTGAATCGCTTGATTTGTCCAATAACAGATTCCATTTGAAGGAAATACCCAGATGGGTCACTTCTTCTCCGATTATCTTCTCTCTGAAGCTCGCGAGGTGTGGGATCAAGATGAAGCTGGAAGATTGGAAGCCAGTTGAGACTTACTTCTACGATTTTATTGACCTATCTGGTAACGAAATAAGTGGAAGTCCGGTCGGGCTGCTGAACAGGACAGAATATTTGGTGGGGTTTTGGGTATTGGAGAATAAACTGCGGTTTGATTTGGCGAAGTTAAAAATAGTGAAAACATTGAAGTATCTGGATTTGGGGAATAATTCAGTGTTTGGAAAGGTTCCTAACGCCATTGCTGGGCTTGAGAAACTGAATGTTAGCTACAATCATCTTTGTGGTCAAATTCCAAAAACGAAGTTTCCAGCGAGTGCATTTACCGGGAATGATTGTTTGTGTGGTCCTCCCTTGCAGCCTTGCAAGAGCTAATAGAAGTCCATGAAGAGCCTATTCAAATGGCCTAATGGTTACAGCAGACGCTGTAAATTTCAAGCCCCATTATCTTCTCACTTCCCGGAGGTGCTCCGTTCCAAGAATAAATGTCATCCATGGGCTCACCGTTCAAGAATAAATCTTACGGACATTTTTATTTATTTGATTATCTGTTTTCAAGTGCAGTGCCGATCCTCCGCCAAAGATCGGTGGATTGATTCTCCGCGTTCTGCGAATGCTCTTATAAGCACGATGTGCATGCGGGCACAGAATCAATAATTAATGAAGTTTTGTAAAAGACTACACGTTGGCACATGCACATGTTAAAGTTTGACAAATTTGGAGGGTTTTAAATTTGCCAAGTGGAACGTTGACTCTCATTTTATATTATCTTTCTGTGTGTTAGCATTTATTTTGAATTGATGCAACCATTTAAAAATATTTATCACTCTCCTACTCTCCTTTATTAAGAATGTTTTAATTAAATGGGTCAACAACAAAAATTAAATAGCATTACATTTTATCATAATATAAGTTGTTGAACAGCATTTTTTAACCTGTGCATAATTAAACAGCAGTAACAACATGCATACCAAACCAAATTAGTTTGGCCTGCTTGCTTCAGGTCGATCATGCGATTCAGGACACCAATGCTACCACGTTTCCGGTTTGTGTTTGGGTGTGATAATTTCTGGACCAATCCGTGTGAGCGGAGGGATCCTCTTGGCAAGCCGTAAGTCCCTGAAATTTACAAGATGAAAATGTGATCATCGTGAACTCGCTCCAACGGTTATTGTGCATTGGAATTGTAAGATAAGGAAACTGGAGGAAATGAAACCAACAAGCTATTGTCTGTATCAAGAAGCTCATCAGCATGACTAATCAAAACTGTCAGAGAAAACGATACTAAATTAGCCATTATGATTGCCTGGATAGAGGGAAAATGAAGAACATAATTTATGCAGAACGAGACCTCCTCCCTTTCCCATGCTTATTCCTGTTCCTTTTCAGTTTCTTTCTAACATGCTTCTGAATGTATGCGTTCTCTGGTAAGAGGGCTAAGTCTGTGAACTAATCAATACGTCCTCCGCAACAGCGTAAACTTTGGCTGCACAAGGGACTGATTTATCCACAATTGTCGATAGAATGATGAAGGAGCTCGTCTAGTAACCTTGGGTATTTAATAAAAAACAGAATTTTATCATGTTATCAAAAGATACATAATATTAAAATAAAGAAAGCTCTTGAGAAAATGATAAATGATAAAATTAATTGACTTAATTGTGCCCCTATTAAGGTAAAAAAGTATTTAGGTGAAGGGAGAGTACAATGACTAACTAAATTATTTAATAAAATCCTATGGTCTAGAAAATGCTTAATAAATGGAGAAGAAGCACCTTAATTCTTATTTATAAAAGTACATAAGATATTTAAAATTGTGGAAATTATAGAAGAATTAAGCTTGCAAGTCATACATTGAAATTGTAAAAAAAAAGTGATTGAGTACATATTTAGATTGAAGACTAGTATTTTTAAGAATCAATTTGGCTTCATGTCAAGTAAGATGGCTACATAAGCAATTTATCTATTATGAGGATTGACGAAAAAGTATCAAAGTGAATTTAAAGATTTACACATAATTTTTATTAATTTAAAAAAAACTTATAATCATATTTCAAGAGAAGTACTTTGAAAAGTATTAAAAAAGAAAGGAGTCTAAGTAGCATATATTAGGACTATACAAGATATATAAGAGGGTAACAACTAACATTAGAACATTTGATGGTGAAACAAAAGAATTTTCTGTAAGTATTGAACTACATCACTTGACTCAATGGTACTAGACTTGGCTTCAACTTTAAGATAGTAGAAGTTAGAAATTCGGGTTTGGGGAGGCTTTAAAAGGCCCCTGTGAGGGTGAAGTGAGAAATAACCCAAGTACCACCTTAAGAAAAGTTGGTTTCTACCCCAGTGAGGTGGATCGGCCCAGTCCAAAAGACCCTCGGTGGGGTAAGGTGAGGACTGTTTACAAGGATCATCTTCAAATCCTTATTTATTTGACTTGGTTCTATATATATATATATATATATATATTTTTGGCTAAGAATATTCAAAAAAAAATCTCCAAATGCATGCTTTTTGCAGATGATATAGTTTTTATTATAAAGAAAAGATAAACAATTAATTGCAAACTAGAGTTATAGGGAAAGGCCTTGGAGTTAAAGGGTTTTCACTTGAGTAGAAGTGAAACAAAATATTTACTCCCTCTGGTCCTATTCATGAGTCATTTCTACCAACTTCATCAATACCAATACAATAAAAGTATAAGGAATAAAAGTAAGTAAAATTTCAAACATGCCCCTATATAACAAATCTAAAAAGTAATGTCCTGTTATTTTTTCTCTCTCATGAAGGGTAATTTTGAAAATACTTCTCAAATATTACCTAAAAAAACGCACCATGACTTATAAATGGGACCAAATGAACCCTTTAAAATGGGACTTATAAATGGGACTGGAGGGAGTACATTATAATTTTGATAAGAGGTTAGTCAGTAGTAATTTGAAAGTGAAATTAGTATATTAGATTATACCTCAAGTGACAAAATTTAAATATTTGGGAGCTATTATTTAATATGATGAGGAAATTGATGGAAATGTTGCACAAATGATACAAACTGAGTGGCTTAATTGAAAAAAAGCTAAAAAAGTTATTTGTAATAAAAAAATACTCAATAAATTTCAAGGAAAGTTTTATCAAGTTGCTATAAGACCATTTATGTTATATGGTAGTAGATGTTGGGTCTTAAAGGAACAGTAAGAGCATAAAGTTGAAGTAATGAAAATGAGAATATTGAGATAAATGTACGAGCATACATAAAAAGATAAAATTCAAAATAAACATATATGAAAAAAAACAAACATGGCATCTATTGAAAGTAAAATGACATAAAATCATTTAAGATAATTTAGACATATATAGAAAAAGCTGCAGGAAGCACCAGTAAAGAGAATGAAATGAATAATCTTGAGTCTTGTAAAAAGAAATAGAGAAAAACTAGATAGAACACTTACGAAAATTGTTAAATGAGATCTTTTAATTAATAATATTTTTAAAAACTTGATTAATAATAGAGTATAATTATATTGTATAATCTATATGGTCGATTCCATATATTAGGATAAAACTTCTAGTTATTGTCTTTAATTATCTCTGGTATCAAAAAGATATCAGCTCACATGGCTGCTAATGTCTGCGGTCAAGGCACGTGATCTTGGCCAGTTACATCCGCTGTGTTCAGCTCATGCATTTTTCTTTTTTCTCTTTTTTTTTGGGGGGGGGGGGGTGGGGGTGGGGGTTTTCATGTTTTAAATTTTGGCCTTCTCTGTTTTCAGCACCACAGATCTGTCTTCTCAGCTTCCTCGACCTAGGGTTCCTCTTACCTTCGCAAAAGCTGCATGTATACCCGTGTAATAAAAGCCCAACATATAAGATTTTTCCCCCCGTAGGCCGTCAGATTTAGTTGATCTTTTTTTGAGAAAGACAAAATAACGATTGAATTCTACCAAAATAACAACAACAACAACAACTGGATTTTCCCCTCGCCCAAAAATAACAAACGTGGACTCCATACCACCCACAAAACCGCCACGCCCACCCAAGGAAAAAAATCTATATTCTCACATCCTACTCCAGATGTTTAGATCGTCTTGGCAGAATCAGCACTCAGGAGACCATGATCCGCACACAACCTAAACCTCGAAGAAGAAAGAAAGAAAGAACGAAAGAAAAGAAAAAGGAAAGATGAACAATAACAAACATGGACCAAAAACTCTCTCGAAGGATTCTTCATGCACAAACGACAAACACACATTTAATTTAAATATATACAATAATATTAATTTATGATAACCAGGCTACACTATGTAATCATATACTTCATGGGCGAATGACAAATGCAACAAATAGTACGAGATTTGAAATAATGAAATCAATTGTCAGGTTAACAAGTCCCCTCGTGCATCTCCGTAGACAGTAATCATGCTCCTGCCCAATTGAAGATCGATGGGGTGATTAATCCCCCCTACGATATTCCATCCGACTGATTCATGCCCAATCCAAGCCCATAGCTGAGACGCAGACGTATCACAAAGGAGACAGCAAATCTACGAGAACACATCATGCTGCAGCAGCAGCTGGTACGCGGAGCTGCCAGAACTGAAAGACGCCGTAAGTACAACCCCATGCTTGTTGCCAAGGAACTAGAATGAATGTGTCATTGCTTAATAAACACGAAAGAGATCCATAAGGATATCACGTCTTCTACAATTGGAATGTAAGAACAAGTCTCTAAAATAAATTATATTCATGTGTTACTCTTACTCGCCAGGCTGTTACAATGCAAGCATTATATGCATATCCAGGAGTATTGTACACATCGTAAAGGGCTGCACGAAGCCATCAACATGGGGAAGTACTTCAAACTGAATGAAGATGACTGGCATCCAGATTAAACACAGTTTTAGCGCATCTCTTCCGCAACTTGACAACTCCGTATCGCCCAAAATGATCTGGGTTTCAGTTTTCTGTTTGTTGATGTAAAAAGCCACCCCATTTGTCTTTCACACGTAGCACAGTTGGCTACTGTCCATGCATATCTGTCAAAAGCGGCAAATTAACCCCATTATCTACGCGCAAAACAAAGCCAATTGAAGTTGCTTATGAGTACTAATACAATCATATAAAAGCAACTGCTCAAGTTGGCATATATAACAATCGCTAGAAGAAATGTGAACATTTTCAATCAATTAGCCGAGCTTATTAATGATGATGATGATATTCAAAATGGCAGTGAAGAATCAACAGAAATAATTTAAACGATCGAAGTTATACCACATAAACAAGTTTATATATCTTAGCATCATGCTCAGGATAAGAAAATTGACTAACAACTTACCCTGGAAACCAACTGTACTGCGTAGTTGCTCGCCCAATAAGCGCTAAGCCACTTGCGTTGTGCAGAGTCATGATCTCATGCACATAACCACCTGGATTAACATAAGCACCAAGAGGACCCTCACTGGACATCACCAACATATCACTCCGCCTTGCAATGATAGTCTGAAAATATTAGTGATAAAAAAAAAAAGTACATTATTTTCTGCATTTGATGAAAGTTGAAAAGAAAATTCTCGTATCAAAAATATATATTGGAATCACAATTAATTATGAACAAAAGGAATATTTTGTTTACACAAACAAGTACCAAACAGAGCGAGGCTTTGGTGGGATGACGCTTACCTGGCAGTTTCTACATCGAACAAGATTAACACACTCTAGCAATTCAATCTCCCTACGCAATCTATATGAGATACCATCTATCTCCAAAAGCTCCTGCCTTGTAGATTCGGAGACAGGTATTTTACTGGCAATATAAAATGATAAAACATCAGGCTTCTTCACAAGACCATCCATGCTTGGCGTCCCAACCACATTCCTCCACAAATCTACAAATTATCAACATGAATATTATTAATTGTAATTCTTACATGAACATATTTAGACTGTTGTATAATAAAGAAATTTTAGAAATAAACGAATTCTACAATTATCAAGGAGCTACTATTATAACTTCCAATTGAAGTTGTTTTACTATACATTCATTTTTTTTTTTGTTATAATGATACCCTTTTTACTGCTTACCATGACTCGGTCTTATGACCTACCCCAATCCCCACGCGCCCTAACCGAACTGAATAAAAAGTGACCTCAAAACAAATCAAGATAAAGACAAAGGCTTGGACAAATGACCATCAAATATAAGCCTAGATGAAAAACTCTGAATTGAGGCTTCAGTAAAAATACTCTGCACAAAGGCATCGGTAAAGCATAAGTAACTCCTTGCAAATAATTCTCTATTGATCTATGTTAAAAATCTAAAATCATATAAACCAGAATGCAGAAAAGAAAAGGCAAGGCTTATTTTATCCAATAACATTTCATCATACTGTATTATGTAAAATCCAAAACAGGAAAGGCTTGCAAAGAGTGTTGGGTTAGTTAAAGGTAAAGCAAAACTACCCGCTGCCCTCTGTGCAAGGCAGTAGGAGTCAAACATCCGGTATACCCAATGGGGCCAGAATGCTCTTGGAATTCCATGAGAGAAGTTGGCGCTTGCACAAGCTTCCATTTTGCAGGGTTTCTTGCCTGAACCTGAAGTGGAACAGCTACCACCAATCCAGTCTATATTTACAGCTCGTTTTCCACGGTCAGATAGCAATGACCTTGTCATGTCATCATTTAGGCTACATCTAATTTCCTGATCAGACTCATGCCTGCATTCTTCATAATCACTGCTAGATGATTCATCCATAATATCATGATCATGACCAGAACCAATGATTGACTGGTGGATTCTCCTTTCCATTGGTGATAGTCCATCCTCAAAGCTCTCAAAGCTCCCATCTGAATCATCATCCACATTTTTCGACCCATGCAACTTAGTGCAAGAAAAATTTGAAGCCATGTGTGAGATGCCACGGTTATGAGGTAGATTGCTTAATGGAGCTAATTTTACCAAAGCATCTTTGGGAGTTCTTGATGGTAGATCTTCCTCAATTATTTGAATCTCTCCACAAGGCTACAAAATATCACAACAATTCAACAAGAAAGAGAAGAAGAACAAGATCAGCATTAATTTGCATAGGTATCATTTAGAATATTAAAAAAAGAAGCAACAAACACAATAATGTTCTAACCACTCCTTCCACATCAGACCAACACCGTCTTAGCAGAAATCTCTGTTGTCCACGGGTAACCACATTCAGTGAACCATCCTCTAGCCGCCTGTATTGTCGAATCTGTAAGAGTTTAACAAATAATATAAGCCAAAATACAGTTGATTTGATATTAGAATACTGTACATAAATTCTAACTAGTATATTGTTATGTAATTGTAATATTGAGAGGTTAGTTACTGTTAATTAATTAAGTTAGTTAAGGGAAATAACCCTTTGGTCGATATAAGGATTAGGAGCCCATAAATACTAGAGATACCTTTGTAATCCTTATGCTCTTGGCTATTCCAATGGATTGATCATATCACCCAGAATCTCTCGTCTCTCTTTCTCTCCTCAATTCTATTCTTCTCTCTTTCCCTCTCGTCTCTCTGTTACTTCTCTCTTCCCTCTCTTTCTCTCTCCTTTCCGTATTATTCTTTCGCGTCAGTGGTATCAAAGTCAGTTATCCTTGGCCATGGCACACCATTCATTCTAGGAATATGAGGATGACCACCAAATATGGCTTCATCAGTGGGGGAGTTTGAAAGAATTCAATGAATTTTTTGATAGCCACACCAGCAGATTAAAATTGCAAGAGAAATATTTGGTTTTTGCGTATGTAGCTGGACTCAAGCCAAAACTTGTAGAACCAGCACGTCTCTTCAAACCAAGAACGATGCAAGAAGCTAGAAGTCTTGCAAGAATGCAAGAAATTATGCTAAAGCATTTGTCAAAAAAGAAGGCATGAGCACTTCAAGATAATTATGGGTCACGAGAGCTTTTGGAGAAGGATGAAGGAAGTACACCTCTACAAGATTGTAGGAATCATCAAGCCAAGAATGGCATTATAAAACATAGGGATCCAGTAGCTAGAACAATTAAAGTTGAAGTTGGATCTTCCTTGCCAATACAAGAACTGCAAGTCGACAGTAGCGATTTCAAGAAAGTTTCTTAATGCGAGTTGGAAGGTGAAGTAGGCTCGAGCACCTCTAAACATGACTTCTCAAGCTCTTTCACTGCTGGTGTAGGTAAAACCGTCAGTCTTGACTTGAGTTTGGGTACCCAACACTGTTCGAAACACTAGTGTTGCCCACTTGCAAGCCACCATGACCCTCTGTTCCAACTTTCTCTTCGCCTTTATTTCTGATCAACCCGTCGTTACCTATTTTTGTTTTTCTGCCACCGCCACAAGCTTCTTCATTGTTGTTTCTTGTTCCTAGGGTGTCATCATTGCTGTCTTCTCTGGTTTCCCCATTGTAGTCTGATTCTGTAGCTCCAAACACTTCGTGGTTGTTTGCTCAATCATCACCACCACCACCCTTTGTCTTCTCATCAACGTGTATGTCTTACCCATACCCATTTAAAGACTTTAGACTTCTCACAACTACAGAACCTGGGTGAACTTTTCGCAACAGGAAGGGCATGTGGAAGTAAGATTTAGTGGGTTTTTTTTTGGGTCTGCACACATGGGTGCATGGGTCAAAGACAGCTATCCTTCATATCAAGTGGGTGTAGTTTTAGTGGATGGCAGCTAACATCGATAATCAATACATGGGTTCAAGTTTCATGAAAGAAAAAGGAACTACTCCCTGATTTTTCTGTTCAGAAGGTCATGAGGCTAGGTCCTGAAAAGTCAAAACTTATTCTGTCATGTAGGAGGAAACTTCAGATGCAAAAGCTGTACCTTTTATCCTCACTAAACCTGAACCAGCTTCTAGATTGGGATATTTGCATAGGCCCAATGTCACTCAGAGACATTACAATCAGCCCATTGAAAAATCTGTCTAATTGGGCTTTTCTTTATCTTCAACTCCTCCCTTCCGACTTGTTTGTTCTTCTATGGTACAAAGGAGGATTACTAAAAATGCTTTCGAGCTCAACTCATTATTTCCATTTATTCAGTACAGTGAACAGTGATAGAGAACAATAAATAGTAGCTTCTAAGAGTTTAATGTTTTTTTTCCCCAATATTTCAGCATAAGTTCCCTCAAATTGCTGTACATGACCTTTGGGGGCAGAGGTCTTTTGGGACGGGAGTATTGCTATGTAATTGTAATATTGAGAGGTTAGTTACTGTTGGTTAATTAGAATTAGTTAAAGGAAATAACCCTTGGGTAGTTACAAGGATTAGAAGCCTATAAATACTAGAGATACCTTTGTAATCCTTATGCTTTTGGCTACTCCAATGGATTGATCATACTACCCAGAATCTCCCGTCTCTCTTCTTAGTTCCATTCTTCTCTCTTTCCCTCTTATCTCTCTGTTCCTTTTCTCTTCTCTCCTTCTCTCTCCTTTCCGTATTATTCTTCTGTATCATATATACATATTTCTTTTTTATTTTTTTTATTTCAATGAATAAGATGTTGCAAACAATTAATTTGGCTCTCACAAAGCACCGTCTAAGTTGCATCTGAAAAGTTTTCTGAAGCAAAAGGAGTTGCTCATCTCTTTATCACATCTGTTAAGCATTTGATCCCTACATCAGAGTTGGTACCATGTATTGGATTTATAACAGTAAACAGTAGTATTTGATATTTGATAGACTATCCATGTACACAAACATATAGGAACACAAATCATACCTCTGCAGTTGTTCCAATTCTTGCCAATTTTGTCCTATGATTTTCAGTATCCCTCTGAACTCTAATCTGGAAAACACATGAGCTTGATAAGAAAAATAACTGAAAATCCCTGGCATTGACATGTTTTTTAAGCACGTGTAAGTTGTGATAAGGAGTTCACCTACCACACCAATAGTGTAACGAACATCAACTTGGCTCAGTGCCCGATCAACAGCAGCAACATAATTGGGTTGAATAACTCTCAGGGGAAGAGTAGCCCCCGGAAAGAGTACAACTCCTGAATGTTCCAGCGACTAAGTTATTCATGCAACATACAAATTACAGAAACAGAGTGCAAAGTATATGGAGATAAATCATACGACATCCCAAATTTCTACCACATTGTTTGTGCTTTAAGAACCTTATTTGGACCATTTAAGGCTACATTTTATAATACTGATTTAAGTGAAGACCAACAATGTGATGTCAAACAATATCCCATCGCAGTGCCTTTGAATAAAAGAGGTTTAGTACATTTCAGATACCATCCCAACAACCAAATGAATCGCAGGGGGGAAAAAGATAATGAAAAAGGGTTGAGGGGAAAGAGAAGGGAAACTTGAATGGGGAAAATGAGCAATTTTAGAATGACTCCTTCAATACCTCATTTGAAATCATGAGTTTCAAAATTTCCACAAGGAGATATACCTTCAACAGTCAAAAAATATTTAAGGTGTAGTGTTTTCATAATATCTGGTGAAAATTATAGAAATCTGTGGTTTGAGGAATCCTTTCAGGTTTTGGATAGACCAGACTCTAAAGTCTAAAGCAAATGCTTTTTCACTCACATTTCGATTTTTAACCACTTCAGAATGCACGCGTCACTAATTAAGATATGAACTTCTATAAATCTTAGTGTTGACCTTTGACGGACATGTCACATTAAAACCTAGACTTTAAATGAACACCTAAACAGCGCAAAAAATCTTCAATCCTTGGCCCAAATCAAATTTAAAAAATGAAGGGGTTTCAAGTATATTTAGAATTAGATAGATCTCATCAACATAGATTCCTATACACACTTATTTTTCAGTGTAGCTGATCCAGAATATAACATTTTTTTGGGAGGGGGAGACTTCATATGAAAAAAGATATTATTTATATGGCTGCTGATACCAGTCACTAGATATTATTTTCTCCATGAACAATCCCTTTAAACTATATATAGGATACATAGTAGAAGAACTTTCCAGGCTAAATGCATCAATTTCTCAATTCACACCAATTATTGCTAGCTTGGTCATCAATAAAACAGGAAAGATATCCATGCAGAACCACATAGCAGTCAGTAATGATAAACACATTGAAGGATAAAACAACCAGAAGACACCATACGAAATGCATGGCATGATACACAAATATGACTACCATCGAGATAGAAAAGTGGGAGGCTTAAACGAACACCACCGTCCAAGAGAGCAGTCCTGTGGTGTGTGTCCTCAACCTCTGCAACATGGAAGTATGATTGAGTAAAATAGAACAATCCAATTGGAAGCTGTATCAGAGAAAGGGGCGAGTAAAGCCAACAAATGAATGCCTACCACCCAGATATGTATGCAAACACGTTATACACGTATCGAAGGTGAAATCATCGGATGAAGCTGGCCTCGCACGGCCAGCACGGCCGCTGGGGTCCGAACAAAATGATCATACGATTATCAGCAATTCACAAAATAAAATAAAACTGCCCGTGAAAATGACAGAGAAATCAAAGAAACCAGAGGCAGATTAAGAATTATAGGCATGAACGGCTCATTACTTGGTGTCCTCATCGGATGAGTCTCGGAGGTCATCCACTTCCTCAACCTGCAATTCTTCGAGGTCGAGCTGGCGAATGTGCTCGATCTGAAGCCTCTCCCTCTCGAGTATTCTATCATCACCCACTACTACCTGCATCCTATCGCCTTCCAGGTTATCACCTTCCTCGACCTCCAATTCTTCGTGATCGAGCAGGCGAATCTGCTCGATCTGATGCCTCCCCCTCTCGCGTATTCTATCGTTATCCATCGCTGCTAGGGTTTCGTCCGAAGCAAGTTGATGAAGAAAGGAAATGAAAGTGTAGTAACGAACTAATGATTGTCCTTTTCAATTACTCGGCGCATCGCTTCATCATGACGTGGATATAACATGACACACTCTCTCATCACTGTTTATGCAGATATCGTCTTCGAAGTTTCGTCTCCATCTCTCTCTGTTTTGGACTGTTCGTTTTCTCGATTCCAGTTTCCCCTGCTTTCCAGACTCAAGGCTGGTGTTGCCAGCTTAAAAAAAACACTATAGAGAGGAAATCGGACTGCTGGACTAAACTTTTTTGTTTTTCGGCAACCCGCCTCAAAGTGATGGGCTGGACTTTTTCATCTAACCAGATTGAGTAGGCCTTGTTTTCTTTTGCCGTCGGCCTAAGAAAGAGTCTATAATACATGATGGCCCAATTCAAGTATTGTTTGAGTTGAGCTTTCCCGATTTTAAGCCCTGCGAAGTGCAAAGGTGCTGTGACACTGTCCCAAAAAATAGCATGCTATTTTCCATCATTTATTTATTTATTTGTTATTTTCAAAAAAGATTATAGAGTTCTTTTTCTTCCAGGAGACTGCAGCAGGATCAATAATATGTCAGAAGACTCCAGCGGACGAACATTGGGGGCTTGGTTAAAACAATTTAGGCGATGTTTGGTACCAAAGAATCTTGAAGTTGGAAATGACATTTGAGGAATCCTCACCCAGTAGGAGTCTTGATTCAAGGGAAAAAAAAAAGCCAGAATTCAATTCCATCATGATACCCATGAAATTGGATGGATTCCAAAGAATTTATTTTGTATCTCGCTTTTGCCCTCAACATCTTCACCCTCACCCACTGTCGCTCCCTGCTCTCATCCATTGGTGTCACAATCATAGCATCATGCAACAACCAACACCCATTGCCGGCAATAGTGCAATGAAATCCCCCACCCTCTAGCGATGGTATGATGGCATTCCCACTTGACAACGGTGAAGCTCTCCCCTCAACTTCAATTGCATCGTCGCCTCCTATTCCCATTCTCCCTCATGTCGTTGCAATCTCGACTACCACCCTTATTCTTTTTTCTTTACGATTTCAACCACCAGGAGATATGCATCTTTAGTGTTGCAATGCCTTCACCCTTAATGCCTTCACTTCCACCTCATTTTTTTCATCCACCTCGTTATTCTTTGGTTTCACTTCTTGGTTCTGCAACGATTGGATTTTCTTTTTTGTTTTCCTTATTTTTCTTAGTTGGAATTGTTGAGATTTGGCATGTAAGGTTGGTTGATCAACAGCACAGTGGTCATCAATGGTAGTTTTATGTTATGGTTCCATGGTGTGGTGGAGGAGGATGAGAATTTTTAAAGGGTCTTTTGGTCTTGTCTTATTTTAAAAAATTATTTATTAAGGTTATATCTAGATTTCATCTTCTTATCAAGCATACTTTTATAAATAGATTCTATTTCAATTTCATTTTTAATTATGACTTTAATTTCGATTCTATTTTCATTAAAATCTCTTTGATCATATGAAACAAGACCTTAAAAGTTACGGGTTTGCAAGGAATGAAATGAATTAAATAATTAAAAATAAAAATAAAATTTTAAATTAAAAAAAAAGTCCCCATGTTTATATGAGAGTAAGGGTAAAATAATTTATAAAGTTTTGGGATCATAAGAAAGATGATGTAAAAATAAGTGTGCAATCAACCTATTACGTTAAAATGAAGAGTTTTTTTTTTCTTACTGAAAGAATGAAGAGTTTATTTTTTTAATTATAATTTAAATACATTTAGTTATATTTTAAATTTATTTATCTATTTTTTATAAATTTTATATTTTAATAATAAATTTATAAAATATTAAATTTTAATTATTTAAAAATGAATTCAAGAATCAAGATGAGAGATGGAGAGCAGGTAAAGACTGGGAAAATATAAAAAAAGCCAAGTGGGTGCAAATTCCTCCACTTTCATGTTAAGAGTCGGAGCAGAAACAGAACTTGTGGTTATGGTTCAGGAATCCACAGTAACGTTTTAAAGTGGGTTTAATTTTCATGACAGAGGGATCGCTGATCGCTGATAGCTGAAGAGTCGAGATAATGATGTGGCAGCTGATTATTTGGTTTGGATCGCAGTCATGCATCGACATTATTATAGTTAGGGTTTGTTTCGCCTCCAAACGAGTCATCATTATCATTATCATTATTACTTATATCCGGTGATAATTGCCACCCTCCCCACCACTATGCGTTGATAATCATTGCAAAAAAATTTCCGAATCCCTGTTGTCTGGAAAGACGGTTTTTCCCCATAAGATATATTCACGTGATCGCTAGGGTTGACCATTTACAAAAAAATACACAGTAAAATTAAAAGGGACAAAAAAAAATTAATAGATACAAGCGTGCTTTTGCTAGTGAATTCACACATTGAATTTACAATAATAGCTAATTACGCTTTTAAAAAAATTAAAAATTAATTACACCTTCAAAAAATTAGAATGATATGTCTTGCGTGAATTGTTGAGTACATGTTGACCCTATTTGGTACAAAAAATTGAGGAGATGAAATTGAGACTCATTGAATAATCCTCCCAATTCTATCTAAGTGATATTATTCAATACCACTCATATAACATCCTAAATTTTTTTTTTCAAAAATAATTTAACTCAACCATGGTAGAAAAGTATCTACCATGATAAATAGAAGTCAACTTATCCTATATTTTTTTTGAAGCAATTCTATAATTTAAAACACTATCATAGTAGAAAAGATTAAATCCCTTTTTAAGTAATACAAAATAATTTTATACAATTAATATATATTTACAACCATAGTTGGGCTATAGCCATCCAACACATTTTATATCAATAAATTTAATATAAAATATTTTATAATTGACTTAAGCTTGCACAATAGAACATCTCAGATATTTTTTTTTTACTTCCCACATGCTATTAGGCTAAAATCACATTTTTCATCTTTATACTCCCAACAAGTGCAAACCATAAACCAATAACTAACAACTTAATCAATTCCCAAAACAAGCTAATTATTTGGCCTCATAATCATGCCATTTCAAATCATTCAAAATAAATCAGAGATCAAAGTTACAGTCATCCAAAGTGTACCAAAAATAGAAATAGTTTGAAGGGCATGATTATATCATTACATTCATATAACTGTCAATAAATAAAAGCCCTAGTATTGACAATATAACACATTAAAAATCATAAATTAAATATCCAAAAGAGACAATGGATCTATGCCATTAAACCTCAGGGACTCCTCCACGTGCCACTCGTGGCTCTTCTCCTGAAAATTGTTAATCACATAATGAGACTCAAAAGTCCCAGTAACTAATGACAATTTATAATAGTGTATATAAACAGTTAAATGTATACTTGCTAAGTGGGAAAAAAACAATAATATAATTCCAATAAAATACAAAAAATATTACAATACATAACAAACAACCATCCTTATCTCCCTCCATTAACATCGAGTCGTAGCCCTCACTTAGTGCTAAATTACTCGATCAAAGGTAGATTAACCCGAGCCCTTACAAGCCACCTATTGGGCTCCAATAGGGGCGTACCACGTGGTACATAAATACAATAACAAATCTCCTAACACTTCCCACACTAATCAAACAAATTCATAACAATATTATATAATTATATAATATTACAATCTTCACAATTTTCTCACTTTTAACAATATTATAATATGACATCCCACTTGGCAAAAATACTTCAAAATGCATATCCACAATTTCACAATTTTTCCATAAACATAACAAGGTAATTTCTCAACAATAATTCATAATTTTCTCAATAATCACCCAATTAACATGAAGCAACACTACACACAAATTAAAAGCATGGTTACCTTGTGGTTTTTTCAATAAATTATTCCTTATAATCTTTCTCCCACCACAATCTTCACCAACAACACAATTTTCAAATAACATATTATTTATAAATATTAAAACTAATAAAATAACTCTAATAATAGGATTAGATAATATAACATAATTTTTAATCTCAATCTTAATATAAATTTAGAGTAGTACTATTAAGTAAAATTTTTAACTATTCTCTTAGTCATAAATAAATATTAATAAGCTAAAATCAATCTCTAAACTAATTTTTATTATCAAAATTTTTCTTTTTATTTCATACATTCGCATATAAAATATGCAAAAATTGGAAATTGAGTCTCAAGCTTAGAATCATCATCTTATAGCCATAACAATCCATCTCTCATCCCAAATAATCATCTAAACCTCAACAAATCAACATATATTTTCAGATTTAATAAAAATTTAGCCTAGAGTTTCACCCATAAGCCTCAAATTTCAAGTTCATCAATAAATTTATACTCTAAAATATTTATTATACCACTAACAACCTCAACAATCGTATTTATTTAACATAAATTTATCGCTCTTCTAAATCTTAAATTTTCTACGACCATAAAATTAAAAACAAAAAAAATTGATTAAAAAAAATTTTAAAACACTTAAATAATTTTTAAAAACTTAAAATTACACCTTAAATATTTTATTAGAAATCTAAACTTTTAAAACTCAAATTCTTTCTCGTCGGCGACTCGCGTTGTCTAGTCTCCATTCTCGCGTGCAAGAAAGAAAAGGGCTGGACGGAAGGAGTGAGAAAAGGAGATAGGCAAGGAATATTTAAAAAGGTGTGGGTCCCGCAACCTTTTTGTTTTCCTTCATTTTTTTTATAACACATATATATATATGTCTATTGCGTGCCGCCCCTCCCTTTTCTTTTCTTTTTTTAAAATATTAATACATGTATATATGCATATTGCACTTGTACGGCAAAAACGTCCACCACCCCTTTTTTTTCTATTTTTTAATTCCTCTATATAAATATATATGTGTGTGTATATCTCCCTCTTTTTCTTCTTTCCTAATAATATTAATAATAATAATAATTTTTAAAATTTTAACTTAGAATTATATCATAATCTAACAATCATCTCTTACTAATTTATTTACCTCTAAATATTCTCCAAAATTTCTATTAACTCAAATTAACTATTAAAATTTAAATTAAGATGTTATTACTCACTCCTTAGTAATACAAAATAAATCTTGAAATTCTTTTTTTTTTACCAAAAAGCTCTCCACTCTTCCTCCTCTCTCGTCTCTTCCTCTAAGGCTCTACCTTCCACGGCCTCTCATCTCCCTCCAAGCCCTCCACTGCTTCTCACAACCATA